CCAAAAATGAAAATGGTCATTTATTCATGTTTTTCCAAATTCAACCCTTGATTCAAATTTCTCATAAGCTTAATTGATTTGGTCTAAAGAGAGAAGAATTAATGACTATTTTTGTTTGAAGACTACATATAAAATAGCTACCAAAATAAATGTTGGTAACTGCAGTTTGACTAAAAGTAATGACTAAAAGTTAACAAAAATGTAATGACTTTTCGTCGACTAAAACTATGAAAGACTCAAATGACTAAAATGTGTCTAAGACTATTAAGCATTTTCGTCTCAAGATAAAGACTAAGACTAAATCAAAAATGTCTGTCAAAATTAACTGAGTAGTAGTGTAGCACAATTAGAATGGACTGTTTTGCTTTTGGGATCTGATAAAGCGCTTGGACCCAGAAAAGGGCACGTGTGACGTCAGACAGACTTAACAAGGGCATTAAGATAACTATAGTTGTAACATTTTAATAATCATTCTAATTCTGTAAGAAAGTCCACACCACAGCTATAATGATAACGACAGAGGTAGGCCTGTCACGATAACAACTTTTTGTTGTGCGATATATTGCCCCAGGAATAATTGCGATAAGCGATATTATTGTCATTTTAAAGACCATTTTATATCACTGAATATATAATCATAATGTAACAGCATAATAATGCAAGAAGGCCTACACACTTCCAAATGACAACAAACGTTTAATTTTTAAGAATATTTAGATCATGGAAATGAAGTATCAAAATATTAGATACCTTAAAAACCCTGAATAAATAGTAAATAAACATTTTCTAACAAAAAGTGCAAAGTAGCAATTTGAATAAAAGAAAAATACACAGATTTTTCCCTGACCTTCTTTTCTCTGTAAATTAAGGGTGCACACTATTGCTGAAAAGCACAATCCCTACTTAGCAGTCAGATGTCCGTATGCACAAAGGCACAGATCCCTAAACAAGATCATATCTGCAGATGAAACTTTGTTTGTAGAAGCATTTTTTAAATTTGAACGAGCAACTCATGACTACACCACGTTATGTACGAGAAGCTGCAAAAGACACAGGCACAAGTGGAATGTACAAAACATGGTGACATTAATTTTTAAGTAAGTATAATGGGCGATATATTGCGTCACCAAAAATTATGGAGGTCATGTACATATATTGCGCGATAAGTCGATATATTGATTATTGCGACAGGCCTAGACAGAGGAACAGTATAATTGGAATCACTTTTAGAAATTTTTTTCCAGCTGATGAACAGTAAAAACATTGTCAGCCAAATTGGTGCAGACGCTAATACATTTCACATTATAGTTATTGTTCTTAGTGTGAACAGGCCTTAACTCTGTTAATGAACTAAGCAGTTGAATCCAGCAGTATCTGACATTAGCATGTTGCTAAGATAACAGATTGAAACTAATAAGCACAAAGCGCAACCTAATATTGACTGAATTAGTGCATTTCTAATATAACGGCACAAGTTCTGTTGATACTGTTCAGTAGTAAATATAAAAATGGTTATTTACTACTTGCAAATTTTCACTGATCTTATCACAGTGCACCCTGGCATTACGTAATACATGAGGGATGCATGTGAAACAGCCTTAGGTTTTCTCTGTATCTTATCAGCATAGTTTTGCTGGTGTCTAAAAGTGTTACCTAGGTAGGACGCACACTATGTTTTCCAACTGAATATATATAAAGATTACCTGTTGATTTAAAACTAGACTCTAGTCTCAGCTGTGTTTTTATAATGTCTAAGAGGGAATTCAGTGATTAGCTAACTATCGAGTCAAACAAAGCTTGTCTTTAGCTCTCCCTAGAGGCCTGAAGCACTTGATATAAGTGACACATTTACAGGTCCAAATGGAATTTTTACTGACATTGATTTTATGCAGTGCTTTTCAAGTGGCTTTCTCTCTAATAGTCCAATCAACTTTGTGTCCTGTTGTTTCAGGTTAGAGATCCAGTGTGCATCAGCAGCAGCAACAACAGTAGTACTACATACAGCAGCAGTGGCCTCAGCACGGAGAGGGTGTCTGTGCAGGAAACAGAGGGCCCGTCGTACTCTTATCCGTGGGAGTCCCGGCGGACCTCCTTACCCAGACTCCCCTGCTGCCAGAGCTACAGCCAAGACAGCGAGGAGCTGAATTCTCCCCTGAGAAGTGAGACTGAATGCCCTCTGGCTGTTACAGCCCTGAGGAACTTTGTAACAAGCGAAGATCGCTGCTTTGCATACGGCTTTGTCAAAGATGTGCTGAGAGAGGAGAGAGAGAGAGATGAGGACGAGAGAGAGGAGAGCGACAAGAATGAAGGGATCCTGTTCAAAGAGGTGATTTGAAATGGCATTTAAAACATGACGTTGAAGCATGTTGAAATTGACACATGTATGAACTCGTACCGAAAGAGCGTGATGCATAGATGTGTTCTCTTGCACGCAAAGATACAAATTGACATACAAGTACACAACCTATAAGTCATACAGGCACACACAACCTGATTCCTCTAGAAAGACAATACAGATAAAGACAACATAGGCTTACTAATACAGAGAGGAAGAGAGAGAGAGTGAGAAACACAAGCACACATGCATGCATGTGTACACAGCCAGAAATTGACTTGCGGTTTTGATTTCCTGTTTTTCTTGCGTTCAGCAGGGTTTCATGTTTACCTCACCAGCCTAGTTCTGCTTAGGGAGTTTCCTTGCAATAAGCAAACAGTACAAAAAACGTCTTCACACACTTACTGTGTTTGTCATGTGCTCTGAAATTAGACATTTTCAGTGATTCTGTGGAGCTGCATCAGTATTGAAATTATGGCCTTTACCGATAAACATGGTAGATAGCATAATTTGTTGAAAAATCTTAAAACAAAACTAAAATAAGCCAAAGTAATTTATTTAGCCATTACAACATTATAAGGTACATTATGAAAGATGGCTGAATATTTGCTGCACATGTCTTAAGTAACATTATTAAGTTGTTCTACTTTTTCAAGAAATGAAACTTTTATTATTTTTATAAACAAATGCACAGAATTTAGATATATACTACAGTTCAAAACTTTGAGGTGAGTAATATTTTTTTCAAAAGAAATTAATACTTTTATTCAGCAAGGATGCATTCAATTGATCAAAAGTGCCAGTTAAGACATTTATAATATATGCTGTTCTTTTGAACTTTTTATTCATCAAGAAACTTGAAAAAAAATGTTTTTAAAATTGATGATAATAAGAAAGGTTTCTTAAGCAGCAGATCAGTATATTAGAATGATTTCTGAAGGATCACGTGACACTGAAGACTGGATTAATGATGCTGAAAATTCAGCTTTGCATCACAGGAATAAATTACATTTTAAAATACCTATATTCAAATAGAAAACAGTTATTTTAAATTGTAATAATGTTTAACAATATTACAGTTTGTTTTCCTATATTTTTGATCAAATAAATGCAGCCTTGGTGAGTATAAGAGACATCTATTAGAAATACTAAAAAAATCTCATAGACCCCAAACTTTTGAAACTTTTGTAGTGTAGTTACGTGCACACACAGATAACCAGATTTTAAGTGTCAGATTTAAAGATTCTATGCTTTTTTGGTCTAAGTAAATAAAAAATGAAAGCGAAATTAGGTATACATTATTATGTACAGTATGCAAAATGAGGGAAAAGGTAGTCTAAATGGGTAATGCATGTACACAGTAGCTTTTTATATTTGTCACTATATTGTGTATTGTAACATGGCTGGATAACGGTATTGGCCAGTACACATCCATAACATCGTTTGACATCAACATCTCGCATCCCTTTTTTTAGGGGCTACAACCAGTAAATTATGAGTACAGAGAGGGACGGGAATATGAATGCTGTAGATTTCTCAAGCAGGGCTCCTTCGGAGAGGTCTACAGCATCAAAGACAAAGGCACCGGCTTCATGTGTGCCGCCAAAAAGGTATTTGTGCCCTGCTTTTGTGTCCATCTTATTATTCCGGCAGATGGCACTGCTGGCATTCAAATGCAAGTTACTGTCTGTTGATCTGTAGATGCATGTGTGTGTGTTTTCAGGTGCCGTTGGTGAGTTTCAGCAGTGAGGAGGTGGGCTCGTGGAGTGCCCTGCAGTCTCCTCAGGTGGTGGAACTCTTTGGAGTGGTGCGTGAAGGTCCTTCCATCATCCTCTTCATGGACCTTAAATCCAGTAAGTGCTCAGAAGTGCCTTTGTAGACACAACAAACAGCCTCTTTATTCCTTCATCTGTTTCTCAGTTCCTTATTTGACATATCTGGTGTTTTGCTCAAAGGAAGTGTTTTCTGGAGAGATGGAGATGTTTGATGACTTTGCACTCTCTTTAGGTTCTCTAGGACAGCTGGTGGAGGAACGAGGCCGCCTGCCAGAGGATCTGTCCCTGCACTACCTTCAGCAAGTATTGGGGGCGCTAAACCAACTGCATAGGAAGCGCATCCTTCATCTAGACATCAAAGGTGCGTCCAGAATGTGGGCTGGATAGTTAAAAATGCCACTGAACCATTTGATTGGTTGAGAGGGGTGGAAGCTACGTGGAGTCTTAAAAAGTCAAAAGCGTGAGCATTTTGCATTTTTCTGTCCTCTCTTCACTAATCCAGACTGTCTCTATTTCACTTATGTGGAAAGATGACATGATATTGACATTTAACGTCTCCGTGTTATTTATGTGGAAAGTTGACAATGCGTTTTTTTTTTGCACTTCCTTATTTGGGATCACAGTTCTTTGGAAACCACATAGAGAAATGAAAAATCACAAGTGAGATGTCCTTAATATCGCAATTGTTTCTTCTAAACAGCAATTCAGATTAAATGTGGAAGAAATTGAGACTTTTTTTGTGAAATAAAATGGCCCTCTCACATTTCCACATGTATATTCAGATATGCCACAATATCAAAATAATGAAATGACTAAAACTGAAAAGTAGAAATATAAAAAAAAAAAATCCAATAACATTGACAAAAGCACATAACACTATTACTAAAACTTAAAATGAAAACTGAATATATATATATTTATATATATATATAAACTAATTCATAATATGAAAGAAAATACTATAATAGTGTAAAAACACAAACATAACATTGAAGTTTACTGTAACTGATGGCCTCCATACCTCCTGAGCTATAAAAGAGTAATATATGTGCAATAAAATAGCCTCATGAATTGGTTCTTTTCAAAGTTACCACAGAAAACTGTAAGCAAATGACACATTTTTTAAACAAATGTGTTACGTAAAGCCATAAGCAATTTAAAGAACTATAGATTTGCTGTTGAGGACTTTAAGTTGATTCTAATGCTGTCTTTTGTGGCTGGGTTTAGTTGTTTTTCCCGGGGATAGGGTGAGACAAACAGCACCTGTGGGGAGAGAGAGAAAGGAGATCAGAGTACAACCCAGGGCTGGGAATTTCCCACAGCATGACTCATGTGGTTCAGATGAGGGGGGAGGGAGAAGAGACTGAGAGATCAAGAGAAAGAAACTAGACACTGACTGAAGAACTGACCATATATAATGCAGATGGACACAGGAGATTAAATGAGCAGCTTTATGTCTTTATCAGCCATTCAAATTGATAAACGGCAGTTCAATTCAAGCAAGCAGTAAAGCAAACCTTTCTACTCTGACATCTACAGTGCCATCTGCTGTCCAAATAGTCTGATTATCAGTCATTTCATCTAGACTTTTTTTTCTTCTTCAGTCAACAAGCTGTGGTTTGCAATTTAGAAACCGAAAGTCTCACACACTCCAATTTGAACTTTTCCTGGAACCGTCCAGTCGCCAGTTCTAGAGCAGAGACTTATGGGAAGAGATGTGCCCACTGGCAAACATACTTATTTTCTAAATACACATTGCTTGTCTAATTGAGCATGACTCAACAGTATTGCATTGTGGAAATAGATGCAATGAAACAGCCTTTTAAATGGCTTGCACTTGTCCGGGTTACTAGTTAATTTAAACTAGTAGTCAGATAGCTATAGTTTTAGGCTACTGTATATGTACTGTATATATAGGTACTGCACCCATTCTAAAATCTAACCAATAGTTAATGAAGTAATTTAATCAAGTGTAATGTCAGTGTACTGAAGGTTACAGAAATAGAAGCAAATTATGATCAGTTTGAAGCAGAAGCACTATGATTTTGATGCATCAAGATGCTCTTGAGGATGGTCTGGAACTTAAGCCTTCATTTCCCAATCAGAAAACCTCAAAAATGGGTGTTTGTGATGTTTTGAAAGGGGAGAAAATGTTTGGGGTTGGTAAGCGTTTTTGAATATATGTAAAAAGAATTGTTTTATGCTCACCAAGGCTGCATTTAGGCCTATTTGATAAAAAATACAGTAAAACAGTAATATTGTGAAATATTATTACAACTTAAAACAACTGTTTTCTATGACTAACTGTAATTTCTTCCTGTGATGGTGAATTTTCACCAGCCGTTACTCAAGTCTTCAGTGTCACAAAATCATTTTAATATGCTGTTTTGGTGCTCCAGAAACATTTGTTATTATTATCAACGTTGAAAACAGTTGTGCTGCTTTATGTTTTTTGTTGAAACCATGATAATGTTTTTTCAGGATCCTTTGATGAATAGAAAGAACTGCATTTATTTGAAATAGAAATATTTTGTAGCATTATAAATGTCTTTACTGTCAGTTTTGATCAAATGAATGCATCCTTGCTGAATAAAAGTATTCATTTCTTTTATAAAAAAAAATCTTACTGACCCCAAACTTTTGAATGGTAGTGTACATCACATTGTGGATTTCTTCATATTTCAGTTTCCTGTTGATTTATATTCTTAAAAATACAGTCATTTACATTTTAGCTCACTTTATTTTCAGCGGATAATATTTTGCTGTCAGAAGATGGGAAAGATGCATTCCTGTGTGACTTTGGATACTCGGAGAGATTGGACAAACAAGGGCTTAGTTATTGTAAGAGTAAGTACATTTCATTATAGCCTCAAATATATTTCAAGTGAACATAGACACGCATACATAAATGAATCAACTCTTTTTTTTTTTTTTTTATGTGTTTAGGTCTGAAAGGCACAGAAACTCATATGGCACCCGAGGTGGTGCTCAATGAGCCGCGCTCTTCAAAAGCAGACATCTGGAGCAGCTGCTGTATGCTTCTGCACATGCTCAACGGCTGTCATCCGTGGACCCGCTACTATTCCCGCCCACTATACCTCAAGGTTAGCTACGATTGGAAACCGTTTAAATAAGCCCCTCCCACTTTTAAAGTCACATTTAATTTTAATTAGAGTTTTGTGAAAACTACATGATTTGCATCGACCAGACACGTACAAAGTATTGTTTGTGTTTGCATGCTGACAGATAGCAGAAGAGCCTCCGCCAGTGAGGGAAATCCCATGTGACTGCAGCTCCTATACAGCAGATGTCATAAGATCAGGACTGCAGAAAGATCCAAACAAACGAGCCTCTGCCAAAGAACTCTTTGTTAAAACTGCTAAAGCACTTAAAGAAGGTAACAGTAAACAACCATGAAACACATACGAATGGCTGTGTATTAAATGTTACACAATTAAAAAGTCATACATTTATTTGCAGTGGGGGGACTTCACAGCCCCGCGAGAGGAGGAACCTATCAGAAGCCACTGGGGAAGCCAGAGAATCCAGACTCCGCCCATTCAGCCACACCCACCACATCCCACCACACCACGCCCTCTGATAACTCTGAGCAGCAGTGGATGAGCTTGGAGCACAAGAGGAGAGCGGGTGATGGAGAACGTCATGACAAGCCAGACAAGGTAAAACAGTGGAAACGGACAGAGGAGACCAGAAACGATGACCACTCTCCTCCGAAGTCACTGCTCCACATTCAAAGCACTTCACCTGAGCCACAGATCATCAATAAGACCGAGCCAGAACCAACAGTGCCGGAAAAAGAGCTGTGGAAAGGTGAGCCGCCAATTTGCAAATTGTTTCCTTTGTCACTTCTGGTAAAAATGACACAAAATAATAGAAATGGAATTTGAAGCCACTTAGTTTATTAAACACACTATCGTAGAAATGTTTGGGGTCAGTAAGATTTAAAAACAAAATAAATTACATCTTTTGTTCAGCAAGATTTGATCAAAAGTCTTCCAAAATAACACTGAAAAGATCTGTAAACATCACTTTCCATGACTAAAATATTAAGCAGCACAACAATTTTTAACATTGATAATAATAAGAAATATTTGCAGCAAATTAGAATGATTTCTGAAGGATCACGTGACTGGAGTAAAAATTCAGCTTTGCCATCACAGCAGTAAAGTATATTTTAAAGTATATTCAAACAGAAAAAAAGATTAAAATTATAATAAAATTTCAGAATTTTTTTTGTATTTTTGATCAAATACCTACAGCCATAGTGAGCATAAGAGACTCCTTTTAAAAATAAATTGTACCAACACCAAACTTTTGAATGATAATATAGAATAAATATTTTTTAGATGTGAATTATTCAAGAGATTGCAGCATTTTATTTGGTAAATGTGTTCATATAGTAGTTTATGCACATGTATTCTTAACAAATAAAATTGTATCCACCTCAAGCAAACGTATACGTTTTGTATATTTTATTGTCGTTTTGGTGTCATTTAGCATTTCTTCTATCCCATATCCCAAAATTAGCATCAAAAATATGAGGATGGAAACTCAATATCCTTTCTTGCGATTACAGCCATCTGAACTGCAGCTTTGCAGGATATAACACTTTTCTCGCTCTCTCTGCAGATTTCTATGTGAGCAGTCTTTCCCATCCTCATTCTGCTGAGCTGCAGGAGCAGTGGCTCTCTTGTCTCGGTAGCGACTGCTTTTCCCCTAGAGAATACTGGGACAAGAAGGTAAACAAACCCAAGCATCAAGTTCAGAATGCTGAATATGAGGCAGCCTGTAATTCCCCACAACCTGATACATGTCTAGTAAACACATTAGAAGGATATTAAGAGTGACGTTTAACTTCCTGACGACCATCACCTGTTGTTTGCTAGTAAAGCATCTCAGTTTAACCAATCATCACTTACTTGAAATTCAAAGGTTTTTTTTCCTTCCAGGATTCAGGGCGTTGGTCATTCGGTCCTGGTGATGACCTTAGCTCAGGCGTGTTTTCTTACAACAGCCAACAAGATGGCCAGAGCTTCAGCAGGGACTGGCTCGCTCCCAAACATCAACCCCCGCCCCGCTGCTTTGACGGTGTGTGAACAACTCCTGATTACTTTAGAGAAATGCAAAGCATCATTACATGACCAAAGAGTTGGCATGATACCAAACTGTTAGCAATCCGTACATTGGTTGAATTTTGTGATACTCGATATCCTGGAAAAAAAACATTATGCTATTTAAATTTGAAGTACACATGAACTATGGCATATACACTACCGTTCAAAAGTTTGGGGTCAGTAAGCGTTTTTAAAATGCTTTTTTAAAGCCTCCTATGCTCATCAAGGATGCATTTATTTGATCAAAAATACAGTAAAAACAGCAAAATTGTGAAATATTATTATGATTTAAAATAACTCTTTTCTATTTGAATATATTTTAAAATGCAATAAATTACTGTGATGCAAAGCTGTATTTTCAGCATCATTACTCCAGTCTTCAGTGTCACATGATCCTTCAGAAGCCATTCTAATATACTGATTTTATTATCAGTTGTGCTGCCTAATATTTTGGTGGAAACAAACCATTATAAATTTTCCAGGATTCTTTGAATAGAAACTTCCTAAGACATAACAGTATAGTAAAGAAAATATTGTGCGGTAAAGGTTAATTATTCAGGTTTTTCCAAGTAATTACTTATGTATAGTCAGTAATAAGGAAACATTCAATTAAATCAAGAGCAGTTTTATTAATATTATCAAAAACAGCAAGTCTAGAGACATATCCCATATTTAAGCATTTCTATTTTTTCGCATATTGGCACAGTTAAGCTACAAGAACTCTCATTCACTCATGCTGTTGGTATGAGATATTTTTAGATGACATTTATCAGGGTTATTTGTGCCATGCTCACATCTGTGCTTTGTTTCTTCAGGGGTGGATGTTTATATTAGGGACTTTGACGGGAAATGCTTTCACATTCGGGAGACGCCCGGGGTGAAAGTAGGCCACGTTGCAAGAGGAATCAGCGATCAGGTAAACTGTGTGTGTGTGTGTGTGTGTATAGAACACGTTTTATTTGCATTACTCTTTGTTTGCTAGAGGTTCAAATCTTCTCTCTCGTGTAGATCTCAGAGAACGTGTTCAGTCTGCAAACAGAGGATGGTTGCTTGGTGCCCCTTGACAAAGAGGTCCTAGAGAACAGCCTGTTTTTGCGCTGCGTCCCGGCCCCTGACTCCAGCCACTATCATCAGTACGGACACAACCCCTGCTGCACCCTCGGCCCCGACTGCAAACTGCCATGGAGCTGGAGGATCAGAGAGGGGGTGCTGGAGACTAGAGACTGATCTCTCCATCTCCATCTGTTTCTGTCAAGCTTTCTGTTCCAGTCAAAGTACCTGTGCATTGAATTAGTATTCGTGAATCTCATCTGGGCCTCTCGTCGGCCAAACTTTTGAGCCATTGTCATGTTATTGATTTACATTCTCAGTATTTTGTTGTTGTTTTAACTATGTAGGTCTTTTGTTGCGCTGTGTTGTGAAGATCATCGTGAGCCTTCAAAGAGTCATTTCATGATTAATGGCAAGTTAGTCGATCGAGTAAGTTTTCTATGTCAGTACGGTTTACCTGTGGGACATTAAGATGTACATCAAAATTTTAAATAATCATCGATCTCCTTTCTAAGAACTGTATTTTAGAGCCTTTCAATAAAAATACACTTTTTTTTTTTCGCAGTTGTCCCAATTGTCTGTTATTAATGGGATGTTGAGTATTGTTGTCTTTGTAAATATTACACTGATGATCTTATTGCATTAATCATTCGAAACTAGTAAAACTAGTAAGCTGAAAAAACACATTACATCAATGTAATTTTAGTACTATTTATTACTACTTTAAATTTTTATATTTGAGCTTCATTTTAAGTTTAGTTAAGGTTTTGGTCATTTGATGTGCCTTGTAATTTTTATTAGTTTTTGTTTATAAAAAATTATATTAGCTTTATTTTTATTTCAGTTTTTGTGTAAGAAATGTTACTATTTCAATTAAACAACTAACCTATAATTTACATAGATCAGTGACCTAAGCTTATGTCAGTTAGTTGTCATGGCAACATTTCTCATTTTTGTTTTAAGTTATTTACATTTTCATCTAATGGTTACATTGTTTCGGCTTTATTTTAGTTAACAATAACAACACTGCATTACATACAATCAGAAGTTTGAACAAAAAGCTGAATTGGTTTCTTATGATTTTAAAGACATTTTCATCTAAAAGCTGATGCTTAAATGCTTCCAATTAGTTTTTCAGACAACTGATTTTCCAGACAATGAGAGAAATTTTGAAAGCATGAATTGGTCAGTAAAGGAAAACCGGCTATCAAGTGTCTAGCATACATGTGAACTTCTTTAATACTGTTAGAAACATCCCAGGATGCATCTAATGAAGCTGTCTAAAAGAAACCCAGATGAAGCTGAGCTACTTATTATATAGTTTAAATTGAACATTTACTACATAATTCCTGTATGTTCATTTCCTAGTTTTGATCCTTTACTGTTATTTTCAAATGTGACAATTTTAGAGTAACTCTTTCTCTACCAAAATCAAAACACACACCACACATTTATATTGAAATCCATAAAAACAATTTGTTTCATTTTACGGCTTACAAAACAAACTCATGGGCTCACACAGCAGACAGACTGCCTTAGGGTGCACAATTTTATACCAGTTTACAAAGATGTTGAAAAAGATGAAAAAGTGGTGGCTAATATCATAAAAAGGCCAAGGCACTATCAACGAAAGAACCAAAAATAAAAGAATATGAAACTACCCAAACAACCAAAAGATAAAGAAACAGGTATATATAAAAAAGAACAATTGCATGTAAAAGTAGGATTGTGGGTCTGGCTAACCATCTTAAAAATACAGTAATGAGAAGACCTTGCTGAGAGGACAAGCTCAACTAATCGGCCTGCAAGTCCTGCAAGACCGAATGTTTGCACCAGCTCAAGCCAAGCGAGCTGCTTTTCGTCAAAGAATCTGCACCTGCAAGTCTTTGGATTGTCGAATCCAAAAGGAATTTGAAAAGGAAAATATTTGGTTCTGTAAAAAACACGATCATCATGGCTCAGAGAAGTTCACTGCATTTAAGAGTCACTAGTATTGTCTATCCCTGTCGTAGGAGGGGCTCGCTGACAAAGACACGCCCACATACCAGAACCAGAGTGCTGATTGGTTGGCTGCACTTCCCAAATTCGGTTGCAAACATTTCATGAACTCTTAAGAGGCTAAACCTTCAAGTACAATCAACTTTACAGACATTGTGTAGCCCCTACCATGAATAACTAGAGGAGACAGTGGAAAAAAAGACGAGGAGGATGAGGAAGAGATAGGAAATTAAAATATCAGCAGAATACAGTCTGAGCCCATTCCTACTCTTTCAGATGACAGTGCGCTAAAAAAAGACAGATACAATTATGCGTTTATCATAATAATAATAATATAGCCTATTAATAATAATAATTCCATTTATAAGCTATTATAACTATTTACCGCATGTAATTTTGACTGTAGGACAAAAAATAAAAATAATATGAGAACTTAACTTAATATGAGAAATTTCTGCATTGAGACAACTTCAACAGATTAAATCAAATACCAATACAGTCCTGTATACAACCTAGACACCCATAAGCCCAAACTAAAAATAAATAGCTAAAATCAAGTCTAAACCTGAACTCTTACGCATTAATCTCTGATTTTCAGTGCAAATGTTATCAAGGTTTAAAGTTGTAGATGAGAAAGAGCACAAGCTCAGGAGTAACAAGAGTGGCTCGAGACATCTGCATCATGCTTGACTCTCACTCTTTCCTCCTCTCTCTTGATTAGTTGAGGCCGTTTTCAACTCTCTTATTTGTCTTTTTCTCTGTATCTCTACTCCAGATCCCTTCCTCTTCCCCCTCATCTTTTCTGTTCTCTTTTGCTGGTCTGTTTCACTCGGTTCGTCGTCTCAACTCTTTCTTCTCTTGCTCTCCACCTCCTGCCAGTCTTTTCACATTTTGCGGATCACCACTACTGTGGTGAGCACCCCAGCCAGGAAAACACCAATAGTCTGCCATGTCGGGGTTCCGAAATAGGAGCGGATTCCCTCCTGTGGGAGAAAAAAGGGCAAATTTGACCACATATTTAGCTTTAATAAAAAAAAAAAAATCAATCAATTAAAATAAACTAAAATCAACAAAATGCTACAATGGGATAGTTCACACAAAAATGAAAATTACCCCAAGATTTATTTTTGAAAAATAATTATATTTAAAACTTTATAAACTGTAATCGCTAGCTTCTGCTACCTGTCATACACGTGTTCACGGTGTTCCAGCGAATGATGTAGGCAAAGTCGTGGCCTAATAGAGAGTCGGACTCATAACCCAAAGTTGCGGGTTCGAGTCTCGTACCGGCAGGGATTGTAGGTGGGGGGAGGGAATGGACGGCTGCCCACTGCTCCGGGTGTGTGTTCACGGTGTGTGTGTGTTCACTGCTGTGTGTGTGCACTTTGGATGCACTAATTCCGAGTATGGGATAAATGCAGAGCACTAATTCCGAGTATGGGTCACCATACTTGGCCACATGTCACGTCACTCACTCAAAGCGTAAGCTCCAGTGAGAAGTGACGAACATGGAAGCGCACAGGAAAGAGCAAAACAAAACACCGGTCGTGAATTAGAAGTACAAAATGACGAGGATTTGTAAAGAAAAATGTTGGAGGATTTCGATATAAGCCAAGAGGAGACTGGTTTTCCTTTGATGTAAACAAAACTCTGTTTTCGTGAAATTAGCATATTCTCACCGGAGCTTACGCTACACCTACGTCATCCACTGGAACGCCTCACTTTCGTGAACCCACGTACAACAGTTAACAGAAGCTAGAGATTACAGTTTATAAAGTTTTAAATATGAATATTTTTTTCTTATACATCGCTTTATTTCAAAAGGCCTTCGTTAACCCCCTGAAGCCGTGTGGAGAACTTTTATGATGGATGGATGCACTTTTTTGACCTTCAAAATCTTGACCTCAATTCTCTGCCAATATAAAGCTTGGAAGAGCCAGGACATTTTTTTTTATATAACTTTGACTGTATTTGTCTGAAAGAATAAAGTCATATACATGGGGTATCATGGGGTAATTTCCATTTTCGGGTGAACTATCCCTTTAATAATATTTTATCAAAAAGTATTAGGTTCAATAACATTTCTGATTGTTTCCACGATAAAGAGAAAATATTTTAAATAGAAGAAAAAAAAACTGCTTTCATGTTGTTGTTTTTTTCCCCTCAAGAATGCTTTACATATTTTATTCAAATGAGGGATGTCAATTTTCGGTCATTTCCATGATCGATCGTCGTTTACATTAACGATCAATTAATCGATTAATCGTTAACTTTAATGCAGCAAAATGCGTCTATTGCAGCAGCACGCAGTCACCGGCATGACAGGATGTCGACAATTAATCGATCACCGATTAATCGTTGACATCCCTAATTCAAATGGTTTAAAAGTTTCTCTTAAAGGGATAGTAACGCCTTTATTCAACAATTCGTCTCCTCCGCTTCCCCCAACAGCGCCATTTTGGAGAGTATCACATATGTAAACAACGTATGCAGTTCTGTGTCAGCAGCACCATACACGGATAAGCTGTTTACGTTGTTTACGCTTTGATCTGAAAATAAACAACATATACGCGTACACACGTTGCATAAGTTGTTTATGTATGTCATACTCTCCAAAATGGCACTATAGGGTGACGCGGAGGAGACAAATTGTTGAATAGAGTCATTATTTTTGTTTTCTTTGCGCACAAAATGTATTCTCGTAGCTTCGCAAAATTACGGTTGAACCACTGATGTCACATGGATTATTTTAACAATTTCCTTGCTATGTTTCTGAGCCTTGATCGTGTATGGATCCTTGCTGTCTATGGAGGGTCAGAAAGCTCTCGGATTTCATCAAAAAATCATCTTAATTCGTGTTCCGAAGATGAACGAAGGTTTTACGGGTTTGGAACGACATGAGGGTGAGTAATTAATGACAGAATTTTCATTTTTGGGTGAACTATCCCTTTAATGAGTCATGTGGTACAGAAAAAGAAATCACGAATTTATGCTCGTGTACACACATTGGTCATTATTTAAAAAGAAATTAATATATTTTTAATGGTACTTTTTTAAAACTAATACCATGGATTATTAATTTAGAAATTTAATTACATTTCAATTTGTCTTTTTTGCTGACATAATTATTATGCTGACATAAACATTAGTCAATAATTGCATAGCCAAACAATACAACCAAATCCTTTGATGAATAGAAAGAAGAACAGCATTTATTTGAAATGTAATCTTTCGTAACATTGTAAATGTCTTTACTGTCACTTTCAATCAATTGAACATGTCCTTGCCGAATAAAAACGTCAATTTCTTTAAAAATATATGATCTATGTATGGCTTTATAATTTTATAATGTATGACTTTTGAACGGTATTCTATGTCTATAGTACAGCCGAGATATTCTGCTTCACATTAAGTTCACATAAGTTAAATGTTCATGTTGTTTTTTGCATTTTGTTTATCACGATATCAGTGCATTTGGTTCATTGTGGCCCGTGTTAAAATATCACATCGACACCCGATGTTTAACATGATTTTAAGGAAGTCACTGTGTAAGGAATTCACTGTCAAGACTTACCCATCCACCCTGTTCCCTGATCCAGTTAATAACGTGTTCCTGAATGTAGGACATAGTCCAGCTTATGATGGTTCTTATGATGTCAGGAATCCTGGTTATAATAGCCTAGGAATACAAGAATAAGAAAGACAAATATTTAAAGGGGTCATATCATGCGATTTCAGTTTTCAGAGTGTTACAAGCTCTTGGTGCATAAAGAAGATCTGTAAAGTTGCAAAGACTAAAGTCTCAAATCCAAAGAGATATTCTTTATAAAAGTTAAGAGTCAGCCACGCCTACCTAAAACGGCTCGTTCTAACACGCCCCCACATGTCTACATCACTGTGTGGAAATATTAGCATAATGCAGCCCAAATGTGCACGCAAAGAAAGAAGGCGTGGTTTCAGGAACAGATGCAGCCATGTCAGGGAGACGCTGTGTTTCAGTGCGAAAGCAAAAGCACTTTATTTGGCCTTCCGGAAGTAGATGCAATTAGGAATCATTGGTTAAGATTTATTTACAACAGAACAGCACAACCCAGATGTTCGAATTTGTGCAACGCATTTTATGGACAACAGTTTTTTTAACCTAGAAGAGTACAAGGCAGGCTGGTCACAAAGGCTATTTCTAAAAAAAAAAAAAAGTGTCAATTCCTACTTTGCTATGACAATCTGACGCTTCTGGTTCTGAATCAGCGACTGTAAGTATGTTTTGTTATTAGTTTAAGTATTTGCTATTGACTGTTCAAATGCGGAGTTTTGC